CGAGTGCTCGGATCAAAGGCGTGCGCCACCAAAGCCCGCCTAATGGGAGAGCTCTAACGTTTGTTCAAAGTCAGATTTGGCCAGCTTTCTGGTTGAGTGACCTTGGGTAGAGTTCTTTCGTACTCTCCATACTTCATAGGCCTCAGCTGTGCCCTAGAAAGGATTGACTGTTTGGAGTTGGTAGATCGGAGCATGGCATGCAACGGCGTTCAGACAGTGGTTCCCTTCTAACTTCCCTTCTCTCTGCTTTGCTTCACCTCTGAGCCTCTGGTGCTGCAGCAAGCAGCCTGTCACTCCTGCTCCCGAGATGTGACTCATTTCCTAGGATCTTGGCTTTCCAAGTACTGGATTAAAGGTGTGTGTCACCCCATCTGGTCCCAGTCCCCATTTTTTTTATTTGTTTGTTTTGTTTTGTTTTTGGAGACAGGTTTTCTTTATATTGTTTTGGAGGCTGTCCTGGAACTTGCTCTGTAGACCAGGCTGGCCTGGAACTCACAGAGATCCGCCTGCCTCTGCCTCCCGAGTGCTGGGATTAAAGGCGTGCACCACCAACACCCGGCTCCCCGTCCCCATTTTTGACAAGGCTTCTGGGAAATGCACAGCAAGCACTTCACCAACTGAGCTGTGTTCCAAGTCCCTTTGGGCTGTTTGTTACTTTCTTCATTCAAGGTGTCCTTAAGTGACCCAGACTATCCACAAACTTGGGTCTTCTTACGTCAGGTGCCCAACTATTCCCATTACAGGTACGCTCTGTAATACCTGGCTTAAATTTAGTAATCTGTTGAATTCAACATCCCCAAAACAGATTTAAGTTACAGGCATTTTACAATTAGCCACTAGGTTCAAAATCCTACATCCATTTTATACTTACTAAAATATGTCTTTATTAAGTGAAAGATTTTAGTAGGCCACACCTTAAATTTTGCCTCAGAAGACTTCTGGATAACACGCCCCCACTAACAGGGCTGCATTCTGACTTGGGCCGTAGGCATCTGAAGGGGTTAAACTCTCCCACTTTTTACAACTGAATCTAAGTTTCATGTCTCTGAGGATGGATACACAGGTGTCTTTTGTAACAAAGGGCCGTTTGTCTACAAGGCCTTTACAATCAGGATCAAGGAAGAGAACAAACAGAGGGTCTAAGTCATCCTCACAGTATCTCAAGGACAGACCCAGCTGCCCCCTTCTGAGTCACATCCAAGCTTGTGCAGATGTGTCCAAAAGTGATAAGACCAAACCTCGGCCAATTAGAAATATACTAATGACCTTAATTAGTTAATGCTTGCTTAACTAATTATGTAGCTGACCCTGAAACTCCCCTTAGATGTGCTCAAAAGTTGCTGCCCGTCCCTCTCAGGGCCATTGCAGGGTCCTCCCTGCAGGTGGGGGGGGGGAGGGCCGGTCCAGCTGGCCTCTTCCCGGGAGCTGAGCAGCTGAGTGGGATGGTGAGCATCGACGACTCAGACTCTTCCCCATTAGTTACCAGGGAGGAAAAAACCACACTGAGTCGGGAGTCTGTGGAAGCAGGATCTCAATTTATTTCAACATGCAGGAACTTACATACTGAGGTAGGGGATGGGAATCTTAGGATAGGGTAAGGTGACGTGAGGAGTTAAGGGCCAATAGTATCCCACCAAGCAGGCAGGTAGCTAGGCAGGGGGCAATCTTGCATCAGATCTGGCTGAGTCACCCCGACGTGGAGGTTACAGGTTAGAGACAGGTCGCTAAACTCTAGCCAGGCTCAAGAGGTTACACTGGGCCTCACATCCGAGCCCAAAACTCAAGACAGGCTTAGGAGCTTACATGGGGCCTCGCATCCAAGCCTTTCTTAGGCCCAACAGGCCATTACCATTTTTGTGCACGTGAACGACCCCACATGCATGCTGGTATAAGATGATCTTTGTGGTTACATACTATTTGAATCTGAGGTCTTCCTCCAGCGTTTCCTCGGACCCTACACAGTCCAGGACTGTTTCTACGTGGTCTCCTTGGCCATGCAGCTATGCAGTTTCCTCTTCCGCAGCGGGAATGACAGTTCCACGGTCCTACCTGTGAAGAGCTCTGCTGCCCCGAGAGCTAAGGAAAGTTCATCCACACAGCCTACACTTGAGCGTCCAGAGGGCTATGCTCCAGGGTTACTGCTGAGTGACTTCATTGTCCAACAAAAGTTTATAAATTTAAAAGCCTGTTTTAGGGCTGGAGAGATGGCTCGGCCGTTAAAGGTTAGGTTCACAACCAAAAAAGCTTGTGTTGGGCCAGGCATTGGTGTCATATGCCTTTTAATCCCAGCACTCAGGAGGCAGAGGCAGGTAGATCTCTGTGAGTTCGAGGCCAGCCTGGTCTACAAGAGCTAGTTCCAGGACGGGCTCCAAAGTAATACAGAGAAATCCATAGTGAATATGTGGAGATCAGAAGTGGCAGGAGTAGCTGTCTCCTTCAGGTGCGTGGGTCAGGAATGGAACTCGTTACCCTGCTTAGCAGCGAATATCCTTATCACTGAGCACTTGCTGTCCCCATGCCCCACCAAGACAAATAAAGGGGCTGTGCAATTACTTTGCAGAGGGAACCATGAGCTTCCAGAGCCCGTGCATGCTAACTAAGTTTGTTTTCAGGGCTGGCATTTTGGGAGTTGGCGTGGAATAAAAACCATTTGGGCATCTTCTTTCCTCCCACCCACGACGTTGACCCAAGTGACTGACCAAAACCTCCAACTTAAAAGTTCTTCAGTGAAAAAAGGGAAAATGTCAATGCTATCTGCCCGCAGAAACTTATTGTCTGCCCCCTTTCCATCTTGACCTCACAACATTTTCCAGAACTATTGATGGTAGCCGATGTTATAGGAGATACAATATATTTATTTACCAGAGAGAGAGTCACCCAAGCTAGGAGTTAGAAGCCTGGCTGGCTTCCAAGAAAAAAGGGAGAGCCTTTTCCTTTCACTTCCTTTTATCTCTACCTGTGCTAATTTACTTGTCCCCACCCTCATGGGCAGATAGCTTTGTGGGGTTCACTCCTACACAGAACACCCCCAATATCCTGCTCCCCTCTGGTGTTTTGTCACCCCTTGCCCCCTGAATCAGGCCAGGGGCTCCCAGATGCTTCTTATTCTGGGCTTGTGTGCGGCACCACACAAACGTTTGCTGAACACTGCGTGCTGTGCTCTCAACAAGGGCAGGCACACCCAAGTCCCAAAGATACCACAGCGCGCAAAGATGCAGACCGCAGTACAGAAGTAACAGTAATTGCCCAACCTAGAGCACCAATGAATTAGGCACCAGTGTCTGGAGATGAATTTATTCAATGTGTGCATACACGTTTGCTTGGTGTGAGTTACTATGCTCCACACGTGTATAGTCTTAACAGGCACGGGAAAGCTGCAGATCGAGCTTGCGGCGGCTCACAAACAGCTTTAGGAAGACGGGGACACCCGACGCTGTGCGGTCCTTCAGGGACCAGGTGAAGGAGCGGAGGTCACGGTGTCAGTCACACAGAGCTTTTGGAGGAGCGGTGCAGACCAGAATCCCTCCCCTTTCACCAGTCTCGTCCATTCGTTCCCAGCGGAACCAGTCACTCGGCCGACAGGCGAAGCTCTTCCTCGGCCCAAGCAGAATTAGACAAACGGATCCGAAAAGCGGTTACCGTCCTCTTACTTTGCCCTTCAGGAGCTTCCCGCTGCGGGCCCGCCCTCGAATTTACGTTTCCGGTGGAGTATAAACCGGAAGTGCTCCGGAGCCAGCACGAGCACCATGCGGATGCTGCCCGGAGTTCCGGTCCACCACGCCCTCGCGAGGGGGCGGGGCATGCAAATCAGACGCGGCCTGCGCGCGCGGGAATGCCGGGAGCACCAGGGTCGTGGAATTTGTAAGCGAAGCTGTGGGTTTAGAGAGCGAGCGTGGGGTGCGGAGGACGCGGACGAGGACGCCAAGGGGAAGGAGACGCGGGGAGGGGCCAGGGGTCAGGTTTGCGAGCGGTCACCACGACGTTGGTGTGGCCGGCGAGCGCGGGGCAAGGCTGCGCGGGTAGTGCTCGGTATCGCTTCTCGGCCTTTTGGCTAAGATCAAGTGTAGTATCTGTTCTTATCAGTTTAATATCTGATACGTCCTCTATCCGAGGACAATATATTAAATGGATTTTTGGAAGTAGGAGTTGGAATAGGAGCTTGCTCCGTCCACTCCACGCATCGACCTGGTATTGCAGTACCTCCGGGAACGGTGCACCCCCTCGGGGAATAAGACCTGTTAAAAAGTAGAGTTTAAGTTCTGAGAGCTGTGGTTTAGCGTTTTTTTTTTACCGTTTGCCTATTTCAGGGTGTCTTTTCCGTGTGCTCCGAGTGTCTAAGGGATCTGAGAGAAAATGCTGGCTGCGGTTTTCCTAGATACGAAGTTAAACACCCGGTCGAGCTCTCTACTGTTCCTCTCATTTGAACTATATTTCATGTGATTTCCAAGTTTCCCCGTTGTTTTAAGTCTCACAACATGTTGTAAGAAATCCTAGGGCCACAGAACAGCCACATAGGCACATCCTAGAATTGAAATGAGGGGCACAGCACTAGAGGGAATTGAAGGAGATTCTGGAAGCCCGATTCCCACTCACACAAGCCTAGGGGAGGTGTGACTGTACAGTGGAACTCGCGATGTAGTTCCAGCAATCTCCTGCTTTCACCTCCTGAGCACTGGGATGGAAGGTATGGGTCGGGTCTCTGGGTCTTGCTTATGAGGTACTGGGGATCAAACCAGAACTTCCTGTAGGCTGTGTAGTTAAGCTTAACTCCGGGTCAGCCGTCCTTGTGAAAATGGAACTGGGCCCTTAACTTGTTTTGTTTAGTTTATTCCTTTGCCAGATGGCCAAATGAACAGGCAGCGGGACAGGCTGAAAGAAACCTACAGCAATACATACCCCCCCACCAAACACACACACACACACACACACACACACACACACACACACACACACACAAATTTACTCATATTTTAAAATAAAAAGGTATGTTAAAAGATAACTGGTTTGAACACAAAAGTACATTTATTTTGAACACAAAGGTACATTTATTTTAGGGAGTAGTTTTTGCATAGATAAAACTGATAACATTAAAATTAGGGGTTTTGTTTTGTTTTATTCTTTGCCTCCACAGAAATTATAATCTCTTGTGAAGTACAAAACACCGGGCATTGGTGGCGCACGCCTTTAAACCCAGCACTCGGGAGGCAGAGGCAGGTGGATCTCTGTGAGTTCGAGGCCAGGCTCGACAGACAGCCTCCAAAACAATACAGAGAAACTTTGTCTCATAAAAACAAAAAACGAACAAAAAACAAAACAAAACAAAATTCTCAAGATGCTAAGGCACACAGGAACAGGAACAAGACAGGCAGGTGCTTCCTTGACTTAGAGCCTGGACTTCTTAAAAGATTCCTTCATTCTCCTGACCACAGAAAGGTCCCCAAGTCCTGCAGGCCAGTTGTCGTGATCTGTTTAGTAAGTGGAAAAGGGCGTGTCACTTGCAAATCTCTTAAACCTTTGTCCTAGTTTCTACCCACATTTCTACCCACATGCTTTTGCTTGCTTGCCTGCTTGTGTTTTTAACTCACCAAGGCTAGGAAAAAGAAATCTGTAGGACAAACAGTGTTGCAAGGATCCTTAGATTGGAATGCCAGGCAAGCCTCCCGCTAGCTTTCTCAGTTGGAAAAACTTCTGTGTGTAAAGGGAGGAACTGTCAGTGCCTCCCACCTCCTGCCCCAGGTTATTCCTTAAAAGCGGGCATCTTAGCCGGGCGTTGGTGGCCCACGCCTTTAATCCCAGCACTCGGGAGGCAGAGGCAGGCAGATCTCTGTGAGTTCGAGGCCAGCCTGGTCTACAAAGTGAGTTCCAGGACAGCCTCCAAAGCCACAGAGAAACCCTGTCTCGAAAAACCAAAAAAAAAAAAGTGGGCATCTTTGTGTGCTGATCCAACACAGGCAGATTCAGAACCATGCAAGTCATGCTAAGATGAAGTCCTTCTCTCCTGGCTCTCTGATGCGGGGGGGGATGTGGCCAAAGAGAAAGATGACCTAATGGGAACAAACACAGAGGAGGAGGAGAAGGTGGGCTTTGGTAAGTCTTGCCTGCTTAGTGGGCCAACAATAACTTCCTTTACTGACAGGTAAACCGTGACCAGCAACCTAAGCCACACAGAGCTTGACGCCATGTGCAAACTACCTTAATCCCCCAGGAAATACATTCCTGTTTTCCTTTTGAGACAGGGTCTCTCTACATAGACCTGGCTGTCCTGGAATTCACTATGTAGACCATAGACCAGACTTCAAATTCACAGAGATCTCTCTGCCTCTGCCTCTTGAGTGTTGGGATTAAGGGTGTGTGCCATCATGCCTGGCTTCTCTTTCCTTTTCTGAAGAAAAACAGCTCAGCCCCCAGGAAGCAGCATGGATTCAACTCCACCGTGCTCACTACTGATTAAATACCACCTCAGAATTTTTGTCTTTGCAACTGAGGTCCTAGCAATTATAGTAGTAGGATTGTGGTGGTGCACACCTTTAACCCCATCACTTGGAAAGCAGAAGCAGGTGGCCAGCCTGGTCTACATAGTGAGTTGCAGGACAGCAATGGTAACATATAATATAATACCCTGTCTCAAAACACCAAAACAAACAAGCAAAAATCCAATCAACTAACCATTTGTAGTATTAAGGGTATCACCACATCATTGTAGACATCCACAAGGATGGGAGCAGACTGGTGGCAGGCAGTCTTATCAACCACGTGTTAATCTGCTAACAGCCACACTTGTAACTGCCTTTGGAAAGAGGTCACACACACACACACACACACACACACACAATATTCTGAAGTTTGGGGATTTTACCATGCCTTTTTTTTTTTTTTTTATTTTGGTTTTTCGAGACAGGGTTTCTCTGTATTGCCTGGAAATGGTCCTAGAACTCATTCTGTAGACCAGGCTGGCTTCAAACTCAGAGATCTGCCTGCCTCTGCCTCCCTAGTGTTGGATTAAGGGCATGTGCCACCAATACCCGGCCATGTAATATTGAATTTACAAAGAATTTACAAAAGTGCAATTTCAAGCCAAGCATCATTGCATACACCTGAAATACCAGTACTCGGGAGGCTGAGGGCAGCCTGGGCTACACAGAGATTTTGTCTCAATAAAGTAAAATAAATACTGCTTTTATGAATTAAAAATGAGTGGAGGCTGGAGAGATGGCTCAGTGGTTACGAATTTTGACTACTCTTCCAGAGGACCAGGGTTCAAGTCCCAGCACTCACATGGCAGCTCACAGCTGTCTGTAACTCCAGTTCCAAGAGATCTGACACCTTCACACCAATGCACGTAAAATAAATTTAAATAAATTATTTAAAAAAACAATTGAAGACAGAAACGGATCATTATATAGACTCCAAAGAGAGGACAAAGTAGACTTGGACTGCATAGACCCTTCCATCTATGCGAACCACTTACTAGATGGGGAAGGGGAATTAGATCTATAAAATATGTAGGCAGCCTCTGCCTCCTCTCTGTTCCTCTTTGTACTTACCGGTTTAGAGATTTTCTTCAGCTGAGAATATTTTCTTTAAAGTTCTATCACAAACATAAGCATTTGGTACTTTTTGATGCCCCATAAGAGAATGCCTTCCCCTCTGCAGTAGTGTCCTAAGACACGGAGCCTGGGAAGGTGAGGAGCTAATGACTGCTTACCTGGTATGCTGACGGAGTGAGTATACAAAGACTGGCCCCCGTCCACATTGACCAACTGTCCAGTGATAAAGGACGCTGCAGGGGACAGCAGGAAACACACCAAGGACGAGACCTGGGGACGGAAGAGGAGACGTGTGTTCATAAGAGGAAAGGCTAAAAAAGTTAAGCGAAGGACCAAAGGCTTTTCTTCTCCATTCCCGGGAGCCTGGTACTCCCGAGCGAGCACATCTCAAACCACATATGCGCATCAGGATCCGACAGCACCGAGACCATGTGCTTTTACAGTTGGGACAACAGTGAAGTCAGGTAGAAAGATCAGGGCAAAGGCGGCAAGATGTGAAGAGGCCTCGGACAGCGGCGCTCAAGCAGCATGGCGTGAGAAGCCGCAGGTGAACCCCGAATCTCGGCAGTTCCCCACATCCAGCCATTAACTCCCTTCTGAGGCTCCCCTTGCCTGACACAACCCCATCTGTCACCACTGCCGCGTGCTGCTCACAGCCTGGTCCCAGACAGCGGAGGGTGTGCAGCGGGGCTGCGTCCTGCAGCTATGCAGATCACAGCAGCTTTCCACCAGCTGACTGCACCCCACCACGTCCCCAAGATGTAGTCACTTGGTAAGGTTCAGAGAAACTCCCCAAACCAAAGAGAACTCATTTTACTGATGGTAAACAGAAACCGAGTTCTGCAAAGGGTGATGGTTCCTAGCACAGCCCTCTCCTGGCTTTTTTGCTGTTTTTTCGAGACAGGCTTTCTCGGTGTAGCTTTGGGGCCTATCCTGGCACTCGCTCTGTAGACCAGCGATTGCCTCGAACTCACAGTACAGTAGCCATCTCAAGAAAATTCTCTCCTACTAGTTTTTACATTTTACTTACATGTATGTATAATGTGTGTGTCCTGAGTGGGTATGTGCACTCGTGCGTGCAGGTGCCTGAGGATCCAGAAAGACTCAGACCTCATAGACCGACCTACAGTTCAGGTGGTCGTGAGCCACCTAATGTGGGTCCCCAGAGCCAAACCTGGGTACTCAGTAAGAGCTCTATGTGCTTTTGTTGTCGTTGTTGTTTTTCAGGACAGGGTTTCTCTGTAGTCCTGGCTGTCCTGGAACTCACTCTGTAGACAGGCTCACTCGAGGCAGGCTGGCCTCGAACTCAGAGTTCCCACTGAGTACTGGGATTCCAGGTGTGTGCTACCACCATCTGACTTCAACACATGCCCTGAACCACTGGCCAATCTCTCCAGTTCCACAACTACTTTTTTGGGGGGTAGGGTGGTTTCGAGACAGGGTTTCTCTGGCTTTGGAGCCTGTCCTGGAACTAGCTCTTGGTCTGGAACTCACAGAGATGGGACTGCCTCTGCCTGCCGAGTGCTGGGAATAAAGGCATGTGCCACCAACACCCGGCCTCCACAACCACTTTCTAAATGAAACATCATTTTTACCTGATGTCTGAAATGGCTGGGTTACAGTTAAAATGAGTATCTGGACAAGGTTTTCTTTTCATGTATTAATTAAAAATTTTGACAATTTCATTTATGTATATGAGTTTTAGTCATTCTCCTTCATTACCCTCTCTCATCTCTCTCCTATTCCCACTGAATCTGCTCTTCTCCAAACCAGTCCCCCTCCCCCTCAGCAAGCACTTCTTTTCTTTTCTTCCTTTCAGTCTGTCTGTCTTTCTTTCAACGGAGGAAGTGAGGCATACATGCAGGCAGAACACTGAATACATAAGAAATAACTAAACTTTAAATAAAAAAAGAAAGTATGGTGACACCACGTCAGGTAATTTTAAAGAAACTGTTGGGGCTGTAGCCGAGCTCTAGCATGCCCAAGACCCCGGGGTCACTCTTCCACAGTGAATAAACCAGGTGGTGCCAGCCTGTAATCCCAGCACTCAGCAGACTGAAGTAGAGGAATCAGAGATACAAGCCATTCTCTGCTACATATCAAATTGGGGGCCCAGCCTTGAATACATGAGACTCTGTCTCAAAAAAACAAAACAAAACAAACAAACAAACAAACAAAAAAAAACTAACACCAATCAACCAAACCAAAATCTCTTGTTGAACTAAGAAAAATAAGACTGACATTCATGTGATGGCTATTCAAATGATCTCTTCTTTTCCAGCTCTCCAGCTGTAGGACGGCCAGACTTTCTATGCTTTTGCTAAAAAATCAGATTTCAACAGATTGAATGAAGAGGCAAAGGCAACGGTCCAGCACATACGAGAAAGCCACAAATTAAAAAGTTTGTAAATGTGTCAGATGAATGTAAAAAGAAATGCTTTGTTTGGGAAAAGGTAGCTATTTTATTTAAAATAGTAACATAATGCTTGCTATTTTTTAAATAAAGTAGTATTTCTTACATTCTTGGTTTAAATTTCTAATATGATTCTGACACTCTAATTCACATTAACAAAAAACCATCTATCCCAAGTAAAATTTAATGATGTTATCTGCTCATTTCAAACAATTTAAAGTCTTTCCTTTCAGAAGGAAGATGTAAACAGAACACAGCCCATTGAATGGTTATTTGGGTCAGTATCTCTATGTAGACCAGGTTAGCCTCTAACTCACAGAGAACTGCCTGCCTCTGCCTCCCAGAGTACTGAGATTAAAGGTGTGCGCCACCATGCCCAGCTGCTGTCTTCTAAGTTTTAGCATATGATCTATGCTAATTTAGGATTTCATGCCTAGAAATAGACTCTCTCGATACAGTGTGGGACCACATTCAGGAACCTTCACTGTAGGATTACTCCCCTCACAAAAACATAGGATCTAAATTAGAACAGCAGTCTCTTGACATAAAAAATTCAATAAATGTAGGTATGTGTGTCTGTAAAGTAGAAACACATAAAATGTAACACGAGCTATTTCTAGAGACTAGAACCACATCCCCGCTCCTATCAAGAGTTTTGTAGCTTTGACTTAATGGGCAAGACACATGGTGTAATGTACTTCTGCACATCCAGGTGTCCTAAGGCATGTGCTGACTGGGCTATCAGCGTGTGTGCAGTGCAAGAGCACACATATATGTGGCACACACACACACCACACAATGAAAATGAATAAAATAAAATTTGAAATCTTGGGCAGTTTTTGCACTAATATTTATCTAGATAAACTCAGAATGCTAAATTCCAAAATTATATTAAATTTATAAGTTAATGTAAGGAAATCTGACGATTTAAAAATATTTTTTTTGGCTTTGGAGAGATGACTCAGTCGTTAAGAACATGTTTTTACTCTTGCCAAGAACCTGAGTTGGTTCCCAGCACCCATGTCACATGGCTCACAATGGCCTATTAATTTCAGCTTTGAAGGATCCAGCACCCTCTTGTGGCCTCCAAGGGCGTGGCAGTCAAGGGGCAACCTGTGGGAGCTTGAATCAAATCTTTACCTGCTAACCCCTCTTACTGGCACCTAGAACTGTAATTTGCCTTTACTTTATTTTGGATTTTGCTTGTTTGATTTTTGGAGACAGAGTTTCACTGGGTAGCCCAGGCTGGCCTGGAAGTTGCTATGTGGACCAGTGGACCAGTCAAACTCATTTTCACAGAGATCTCCGCTGTCTGCTTTTGCCTCCTACACACTAGGATTAAAGGCATGGGCCCAGCAAAAATTGGCTTTTTAATAAAATTGATTCTCCTACCAAGAAATCTGACTTATATTTATTTAAAATATTTATATTGTTAGTGTGTATGTGTGTGTGAGTGTGTGTGTAGGATTACACACGTGAATGCAGGTGCCTGCCGGCAGAGGCCAGAGGTGCTGGATCCCCCTGCAGTGGTAATTATAGGCAGCTGCCAGCCATCTGATGCAGTTGCTGGGAATTGAACTCAGGTCCTCTGGAAGAGCAGTTCCTGCTCTTAACTGCTGAGCCACAGCCACCCATACCTTTATTTATCTGTTTTTTTTCATTCTTCTGTAAGAACCTTCTCCCCCACTCCCACCACCATTAGAGCTACATTTATTTCTAGGTCATTTGAAAAAGCTACTGGGTTTTACATACTTGAACTCCGTAAGTCTATAATTATCTGGCTTGCTTAGAGCGGCTTAGAGCGGCTTGTACCAATACTGCATGTGATAAAATGCAAAGCAGCATCAAACAAGAAAACATGTTGTCTTTAACTTCACAACTTTCATTCCTGAGGAAATTCTGCCGTCAGCAGCGAAAACAACTACCTGGGTTATTTCCCAGAGCCCAAAGCACAGGCACAGGAGAAACAGTTTGGTGGCAGTGGAATAATCATCTCTACTAGTGAACCAGGCCACATGCCAAGGGTACCAAATATCACACATTTCTCAAGTCACTCTCGTCAATGGCAGATAAATACATCACCTCCTCAGGGATTCCAATGCGCTTAGCTGGGATATTATCAAAGGCCATTTCAAACATGCTTTGTCCCAATTCACCATAGTTGTCAACAGCAGTCTGGGAATAAATAACTCCCTATATGAGAAAACAAAGCAGGAAGGAGATTAAACAGGGAAAATGAAATCGCCAAGACACCAAGGGCTGGGGATGTAACTCAGAGGGAGAGCATTTGTCTGGCATGATTTAGGCCCTAGGCTCTGTTCCTAGTGCCGAAACAACAGCAACCAGCAGGTGTCAGGGAAACACAGCCACCAACAACCAAATGTCACAGAGAAGATAAACTTTCTTTAAGATTTATTTATTTATTTTCTGGTTTGGTTTTGTTTTTCTTCAAGACAGGGTTTCTCTGTATTGCTTTGGAAGTTGTCCTGGAACTCACAGAGATCCACCTGCCTCTGCCTCCCAAGTGCTGGGATTAAAGGTGTGAGCCACCAATGTCCAGCAAGATTTTTTTATTTCTTATGTATTCAGTGTTCTGAATGCATATAATGCCTGCTCACTGGAAGAGGGCAACAGCACCAGAACTCATTACCGATGGTTGTGAGCAACCATATGGTTGCTGGGAATTGAACTCAGGACCTCTGGAAGAGCAGGCAGTGCTCTTAACCTCTGAGCCATCTCTCCAGCCCTAAGGTAAATGTTTCTAAATCAGGGTTTCTCAAAACTGTCAAAGGGGTCCAGCCAACCACTGTGTACCAGCAGAGCGTTTGAATGGTCACGTGTGAGGTCTTCTCCCTTTTAATAACCAGCTAAGTCTTGGACTCTTTTTTTTTTTTTTTGTGCAAGACTGGGTTGCTGAAGAGTATGTTTATGTAAGTACTTTAGCGGGAAACCTCACCAGGACAAAGGGCCTAGCTCTCCTATGAGCCTGCCTGCTTTACCAGGGAAGAGGTGCAAGTATAGGGTTTCCAAATTTAAAGTGAAATTTAAAAAACACACCAGAATCCAAGATTTATGTATGTATGTGGGAAATCTAATTTAAAATGTTTGTATTTTAAATGTTGAGTGGGTGTATGGATTGCATGGATGCACACGTGCATATGGAGGACAAAGGATGACATCGAGTTTCCTTTTTAATCACTCTCCGCCTTATTATTGAACCCGGAGCTCACGGAGGCACTTCGCTAGCCAGCCAGAGCTCCAGATTGGTGAGACTGGTTGGTAAGTGGACATCCATGGCCATCTGCCTATCCTCCCCCACAGCACCCTACTGTTACACGTGTGTGCTGTCAAGCCCAAGTGAGGCATTATTTCCATTAAAACACCAAAGGGAGACATCTGAGTTGATCTGTGGAAGAGAGAGAGAGAGAGAGAGAGAGAGAGAGAGAGAGAGAGAGAGAGAGAGAGAGAGAGAGAGAGAGAGAGATTTCACCTAATGAAGTACATGTCTGGCACAAAATATCACAGAGGCTTAAGCTATAGCTTATTTTACAAAATAAATAAATAAATGAATAAATATTTGGGGAGGCAGAGGCAGGGGACCAGGAGTTCAAGGTCAATTTAATCTATATAATGAACTTAAAGCAAGCCTGGGCTATACAAGGACCTTTCTCAAAAACCAAACAGAGGGCCAGGCAGTGGCGGCCCATGCTGTTAATCCCAGCTCTCAGGAGCCTGGTGGTCTACAGATGGAGTTCCAAGACATGCTCCAAGGCTTCACAGAGAAACCTTTCTCAATAAACAAAAACACAAACAAAAAACCGAATTCTGATATTCAGAGCAAACAATACACCAAGAAATAACAAAATCACTTAGAAAGAAAATTACTCTTAAAAGTAGTGCTATTGGGTGTGCATCTGTGACACTACATTGATCACTAAAGGAGAAAATGCTGTGTATGTATTGTGTATGCATGGTTGTTCTCAACCAGGTGTGAAGATGAAGAAGCCAGAGGTCGGTATCAGTGCCTTCCTCTATAATTTCCACTTTATTGTTTCTTTTTTGTTTGTTTGTTTGTTTTGAGACAAGGTTTGTTACTGAATCTGGAACTCACTCTTTCAGATAGGCTGTCTGGCCATCCAGGGAGCTGCCTAGGACTGGAGTTACAGGTGTATGCTGTGTCTGTATTTTTAATGTGAGCACAGGAATTTGAACTCAGGTCCTCAGACTTGCACAGCAAGTGTTTTGCAGACTGAGATATCTCTTCAGCCCTCCAAGCAGTATTTCCTTTTAAGATTCATTTTTTATTATTTTTAACTGTGTGTGTGGGTATGAGGGATGTGCATGCAGGTGACCAGCGAGGCTAGAAGAAGGCGTCAGAATTCCCGGAGCTAGAGTCACAGGCAGCTGTGAGATGTTTGATGTGGGTAATGGGAACTGAGTTAAGATCTTTTGCAAAAGCAATGTACACTCCTAACTGCTGAGCTTCTCCCAGACCTGTAATATTTCTTAATATTTACTGTGCAATAGAATGTCCTCAGTGATTTTTATAATGCAGGTACTTACAAGCCATTACTATGATGAAAAGTTCTTGCATCACCATTGTTTAAATATACATAATATTAATATATAGCAGGGTTGTGCATCGCTCTCATTATGAATCAAATAACACTACTGCTATAATGAATGACCGCCTTTCTAGTCTAACCTATTGTCTTAGTTAGGGTTTCTAGTGCTGTGACGAGACACCATGACTAAAAGCAAGTTGGGGAGGCAGGGGTTTATTTGACTTACACTTCAGCATTGTTCATCACTGAAGGAAGTCAGGACAGGAACTCAAACAGGGCAGGGTGGGTCCGGGAAACAGGAGCTGATGCAGAGGCCATTGGATGGGAGTTGCTCACTGGCTTGCTTCCCCTGCCTTGCTCACCCATCTTCTTATAGAACCCAGGACACCAGCCCAGGGATGGCACCACCCACCACAGGCTAGGCCCTCCCCCATTGATCACTAAAGGAGAAAATGCTGTACAGTTGAATCTCAAGGAGGCATTTCCTCAGCTGAGGCTCCTTCCTCTGATGACTCTAGACTGTGTCAAGCTGACACACAAAACCACCCAGTACACCTATGCCCAATGAAAGTCAATTTTTATAGTATATTTAAACAGATATTAGTATATACTACTATCTTGTCTTCAATGACACACTTATCCACAACACAAATGGAATCAGAGGAGCCCAATTTGCCACAGACTTGGAATCTAACTGTTACCTACAGGAGCAACACAGTTGATCCTTACTCCACTGCTGGCCCATGCCAAAGCCATGGATTTGGTGAGGTTGTAAACACCTTCTCTTGCAGCTCCAGAGTGCCTTTAAAGACATAAACACCATCAGTCTCTCTGAACATTTTTCTCATAAACTAACTTGACAAGAATATCAGTGCCAGGTGTTGGTGGCACACGCCTTTAATCCCAGCACTCGGGAGGCAGAGGCAGGCGGATCTCCGTGAGTTCGAGGCCAGCCTGGTCTACAGAGCAAGTTCTAGGACAGCCTCCAAAACAATACAGAGAAACCCTGTCTCGGGAAAAAAAAAAGAACAAGGTACAGAGAGAATGTGATTCAGAATTTCTATGTACAACATAATATTATCCCCACAACCAAATGCTCTATGGTTTAGTGTGAAAATATTAACATAGAAAATTAGGGGGAAAACTATTCAAAAGCATCTGAAATCAGCTGTGGAAGAACAAACTAGGTAGTAAGTGATGAAGGCTGATTGATTATTTCCAATTTAGTACATCTGAAAGATCCTCTCTGTCTCTTTACCCTGCCCTCCTTCTCTCTCTCTCTCTCTCTCTCTCTCTCTCTCTCTCTCTCTCTCTCTCTCTCTCTCTCTCTCTCTCTCTCTCTCTCTCTCTCTCTCTCTCACACACACACACACACACACACACTTATCTCACTGGATAAGAATTTGGGTTGTGGACTGAAGAGATGACTCAGCAGTTAAGAGCTAGTATGTAACAGTTAAGAGCTAGTATGTAACAGTTAACTTGGCCTGTCAGTTTGACTGGATTAGGAAGCATCTAGGGATTAGTAAAGCATACGCCTCCAGTGTGTCTGTGAGGATGTTTTCTGAGAGAATTAACTGGGGTTCACTGTGGGGAGGGGAGAGGGAAGACCCACCCTGAATGTGGGCAGGACCATTACAAACAGACAAAGAAGCTATCAAGTACCAGCATTCTCCTTTCTTTGCTTCCTGGTTCACTATGATGAATGATGGAACCCTTTCTCAGCTCACTAAAATGGATGATGGAACCCTCTCCTGACTCACTATGATGGATGATAGAACCCTCTCCTGGCTCACTATGATGAATAATGGAACCCTCTCCTGGCTCACTACAATGGATGGAACCATCTGAAGCCCTGAGCCAAAGCAACCCCTTCCTCCAATAAGCTGTCTCTGCAAGGCATGTTAGAGAAACAAAGAGTAACCCATACTCTACACAACTGAAGGAGTCCAGATAATACAGGAAGCAAGTACATTATTAAAATTTCCGGAGAGGAAATCAACTTGTTACTTGCATAGTGACTAGTCAGAAGTACAATCCCTCAGGAATTTGGGGGACGATGACTCTGAGTTTCTGTTATGAGCTACAATCTAGCAGTCCTAAAATCAAACAGATATATTCATGGTGTTCAAATCTAAATTAACCCAGATCAATTTAATTTTTCACAATTTGACAAAGAAGCTATTTCCTACAGTGATGGCTAGTTTAGTAACATCCTGGTTAGTTTCCAGAAAAGATACAGGACCTCCAGGTAATATGTATTTTGGGTAAATAGTAAACATGAATACCTCCACAAAAACCTCAAGCTCACTCCCAGTGGCACCCTGCCTCAATAAGGCCACACCCACTCCATAAGGCCACACCTCCTAATCCTTTCCAAATGGTTCCACTAATTGGGGACCAAACATGCAAACATATAAACTATGGGGAGACATGCTAATTCAAACCACCACATAGAGCCTCCTTAATCTTTTTTTTTTTTTTTTTTTTTGGTTTTTTGAGACAGGGTTTCTCTGTGGCTTTGGAGGCTGCTGTCCTGGAACTAGCTCTTGTAGACCAGGCTGGTCTCGAACTCACAGAGATTCACCTGCCTCTGCCTCCTGAGTGCTGGGAATAAAGGCATGTGCCACCACTGTCTGGCGAGCCACCTTAACCTTAGCAGGCATTATTAGCAACTAGGGAAAAGGCAGGCAGGTAAAGTGTTTGCTGCTCAAACTTGAGGATATGAGTTTGGATCCTCACCCTCACATAAAAGTCAGGCATGGCAGTGCATGCTTGTAATTCCAGCAAGGAGGAAGAGGAGACAGAGACAGGAGGGTTCCTGCGACTCACTAGCCAGTCATTCTAGCCAAGTCAGAAAGCTGTAGGTGGAGAGGGACTGGCGAAGATGCCTGATGCTGACCTCTGGCCTCCGAGAACACACAATTTTTTAAAGGTTCAAATAAAAGGAAATGGAAGAGGAATGTAATCAAATATATTGTATGACCATTTCCATGAATTAATAACTTCATTTTAAAAGGAAATTATTAGGGTTGAAGTTTATTAAAGGAATGAATCACTGATTTAAGACACTTTTCATTATTGCCCCTCATTCAGAGAACAAAACCTAAAGACAGAAAGAAAAAATATATAAAATACTTACGAGGCTGCTGGAAACCCATTGTTAATAAGGACAATGATATTGACGATAGACCCTCCATGCTCTTTCATCCAGGAATTGTAAACTGTAGAACACAGACAAATGGCAATCATATTAAAGAGTGTGCTGACTCTTCCTCTATTGTACCCTGCTCCAGCATACATTTGATGCCTTTTTTCTTCTCCTTTTCTTTCTTTCTTTCTTTCTTTTTTTTTTTTTTGAGACACGGTTTCTCTGTGTAGCCTTAGCTGTATGAGAACTTGCTCTGTAGACCAGGCTGGCTTCAAACTTAGATCTGCTTGTCTCTGCCTCCCAAGAGCTGGGATTAAAAGTGCACCACTGTTGGGAGCGATCATTGTTATCTAGAACCTCTTATAAATATTGCCAGCCTTTTTAAAGAATAATCCATCCCCTCCCCAGCTCCTTATGAATAAAAACCTGGGCTCACAGGAATAGCTGATAACAATCTACAGTTAGGTTACTCAACCCTCCTCCTTGCAATTAGGTTACCTAGCACTAATACCTCTTATCTTCATTCTTGCTACTCAGCCTCGGTAGTGGTCTGCGACTACCAATACCCCTCAGTATGTGACCAAGAACGCTCCTTGGCCCGATTACCAGGTAACTACCCCCACCCCTGAATCCACCTTAACTACTATATAACATGCCTAAGGAAAATAAAATCACACAGCTTGACCGGAAGGTCTGTCTTGCAGTCCGTCTCTCTCGTGTCTCTTGTCTCATTCATTCCAGGTTCCCATGGGCTCCACCCCCATTGTGCCCTGCTGGCCAGGGCAGACTGGTGCCCAGAGAGGGCTCTAAAACCCTATGGATCCCAGGAACTGTAGCCTCTGCTGTACCCAGAGGAGCAGGCCTGCCCATGTTCACTGAGCCACCGGGCCTGAAGCACCGGCTCGCAGAAGTCGCCACAGACTACTGTGAGACAGACTTGCAAAGAGGTTGCCACGACTTTATCCGGCCAGTGAGTCAGATCCGGAGGAATAACGCAGCAGTGCAAGGTAAGCTTATGCCACGGGACAAGCATTTAGTAAGCAAGATTTGTTCATTAAGGGACTCAAAAAAAGTCTCTCAAGACACGAGGAGTAAGGGTATATGATTATATATGTAAGACATAATATTGGTCACATGATCATATGTTTACTTGTGTATATTTTAATAGCCAGGAGAGCTGAAATAAAGCAAAAGACACATACAGAAAATTTTAGAGTTTAGAAGTTTTAAAAGGATCCTTCCCTCTCGCAGAAGCCACTGCCGCAGCTGTATCAGAGCTATGCCAGGGCTTGGGGAAGCAAAAATGCAACCACACATATGAGAAGGACAGCATAAAATATCTGCCCCCGACGCGGTTAGCAGAGACCTCCACCTACTAGGAGAAGCTTAAAAAATAATAAGGGGCAGAGAGATTGAGATGAGTATAAAGAGACCAGGATGGTTTCGAACTCACAGAGATCTGCCTGCCTCTGCCTCTGGAGCACTGGGATTAAAGGTGTGCACCACCGTTGCCTGGCTGTACCTGTGATGTTTTTTGAAGGATTGTCTTTTGTTCAGTTTCATTTTGACAATTATCTTACATGTCACAGACTCTTAAGTGATGAAATTTAATGAGAATCAAGAATAATAAAGCCTCCAGTGTAGCACTCCGTGTATAATGTGGTAGGAAGTATGCATTCCCTCAAAGTCAGGTTATCCCCCCAATTTTTTTTTCAAGACAGGGTTTCTCTGTATTGTTTTGGAGGCTGTCTTGAAACTTGCTCGGTAGACCAGGCTGTCCTCGAACTCACAGAGATCCGCCTGCCTCTGCTTCCCAAGTGCTGGGATTAAAGGCGTGCACCACCAATGCCCGGCTTATCCCCCCAATTTTTTTTTTGTTGTTGCTTTTTGTTTTTTCAAGACAAGTTTTCACTGTGTATCCCTGATTATCCTGGAACTCATTCTGTAGACCAGGCTGGCCTCAAAATCACAGAGATCCGCCTGCCTCTGCCTCCTCAGTGCTGGCATTAAAGTGTACCTTCACTGCCTGGCTCCCCCGCCCCCAATTGTTTTTTCAAACTAAGTTTAATCATCACTAGAACAAGAGCAATCTTGAATTTGGGGCATGTTTAAGCTAATGTTAGGCAGTCCCGACATTAAATTTTTAAAGAAATTTTTTAGAAAATTAAAAAACAAAAAAAAAGATTCAGGTCAAACTAAGGAGACACTGGCTGGAGAGATGGCTCAGTGTGTAAGCACTGGCTGACCTTACAGAGGACCCAGGCTCTGTTCCCAGCACCCACACTGTGTGACTCATAACCACCTCCAAGTCCAGGTGCAGGGAACCCGATGCCTGTCCTGGCCTCTTCAGGCAACTGTGAACCCACAGTGCACATGCATACACTCAGGCATACATACACACTAGTAAAATAAAAACAAATTCTAAAGAGACACAGACCACAAATATAAGATATGAATTTTGATAAGGTACCAGATCAATATAAACATGGGTCAGATGCTATTGATACTTGTCTTCTATGTCCCTAACGGTTCCTCTTCCGGTCTCCCCTGTGATTTCTCACTAAAGACATGTTTTTTGTTTGTTGTTGTTGCTGCTGCTTTGTCTTGTGGCTCTCGAGACACTCGCCTGCTTTACACAAGTAGAAAGTGCCTGTCAGGTTCGTTTCGATCACAGCTTGCCATCCCTTTGCACTGATGTCTTCAATAGGAGACAGGAACTGGCCTCCTCCATTGTTTACCAAGAAGTTGATCTTACCATACTTAGCTAAGGTGGCGTTGACCAAATTATTCACCTAAAGAAACATTGGAGGTACAAGTTTAATAGCTAACCTGCTATAATGCCCAGTCACTTGTTTTAAGATCTAAAGCCATTTGTAGACTCTTACAGCGCATGTTAATTCTAAATACCACAACCCCAACACATAAAAGCCACCAGTAAGTAAACCCCCAAATCCCACGGTGTGAACCGACCACTATACAATACTCATAAATCACACGCCAAGATTCTCACTTTGCTAACAAGATACACCAAAGAGTCACCAAGATGCTCCTACACACAAGCCTCAGTAGTATTAATTTCTAAGTACCAACCTTAAATAATAGTGATGGCATCAGAAAAAAAAAGAAAGAACACTAAGAATGCCTTCAAGGGTCTAATGGAAGCACATCCTTGTTTGGCTCCTCTTTCATGCTTCACCACCGCTCCTACTGAGGTCAGCAGCTCAGTCAGTCAAGAGCACACAGATCTACTTACAGCTCTGCCTTCGAGTGGCCCTCGTCACCTTTAAGTACAGCGGGGTGGGGTTAGAAGAGCTGTGCAGCCCTATTTATAGTACCTCTTCTTCTCTCCGGATGTTGCATTGTATGGCAGTGACTTGAGCGCAGCTGGAGGGACACAGGGACATTCTCAGTTCCTCCGCAGCAGAGTTTAATCTGTTCAGATTCCGGGAAGCAATGACCACATTACATCCTAAGGAGAAAATAGCCAGGGAGGAAGGAAATAAGCTTCCAAGAACTGTCCAAATTATGGGGCTAGAGAGATAGCTCAGTGGTTAAGAGCCTTGGCTGCTCTTCCAGAAGACCCAGGTTCAGTTCCCAACTTGTACATGGCAGCTCATAACTGACTGTAACTCTAGTTCCAGGGGAATCTGAATCCCCATTTCTGGTTTCCACAAGCACCAGGCACATACAAGATAAACAGATAGATATAGAGGCGAAACACACGCACAAAAAGTTGTCCATGGTTCACGCCTTTAATCCTGGCAGTCAAGAGGCAGAGGCAGGCGGATCTCTGTGAGTTCGAGGCCAACCTGGTCTACAGGGTGAGTTCCAGCACATCCATGGCTACACAGAGAAACTCTGCCAGGGAGAGCTGTCCAAATTATAGAAACTATTTTGTGTATTCCCGTAAAAGATGATGGGTGGAAGAGTAATTAGGATGGGTTTGGATAAGATGGAACAGTAGGAACTGAATTTATCTCTAGCTTGAAAGACTAAGAAACTAGACCACACACACACACACACAAATATACACAGGAAACAATTGCTTTGAAATATTGAATATCAAAAAAAATGAGCAGCTACCTCTGAGAGAGAGCAAGTGTAAGAGAGACTTATGAATAAACCATATTACTGGAGGACTAGGAGTTTGACAGACAGGGAGGGGGGCATGGCTGGCCATACAGGTGGCGTACTTCGGCAGGCTTCTTACCGACTTGAGACAAAAGCCTGGCAGATAAAACACAGCCCTTTTCTCCTGCCAGCAGGCCCCCACTGATGGGCTGGTTGGTTCAACAGGTTCACGGCAGGATCAGGACATGTTACTCAACAGTTGTGGGCCAATCAGCCATCCCATTTTTTTTCAGACTGATCAACTCTAACTCAGGAGGAAAACCCTTCAGAGACTTAAAAATCCCTAGCCCTCAAGAGCAGACTGGAATTTTCAGCATCCTGAGTCCCCCCTCTGTTCTGCCGAGTTGTTTTCTCTGCATTTGCTGCATGTCTGTGGTGGGTAAGATGTCTCTGCTGCTATCGGCTGTGCTCAAGATTATTCCTGCCCTTGAAAATTCTCTAATTGGCAGAGAGGACTAACCCAATCAAGAACCCAGACTGTATGTATCATTACCACCTGAAGAGAATTTCCAGACTACAGCACAGAATAGATTGATTCTCAGCCCAGAAGTTTCTAGAAATGGGAGAGGTGAAGCTGGGATTCTAAGGAAGCTAAGCAACTGGCCACACAGGTTATAGGGAGATGAAAAACGAAGAGATTTTTACAGTTACGGCTGGATCTCGTCCAGGTAAGTGCAGGCCAGTGCAGATGAGTGCTTGGGAGGACAGGAACAGGCTGGGGAAAGGGCTCTTCAAAGAGAGAGAGAGAGAGAGAGAGAGAGAGAGAGAGAGAGAGAGAGAGAGAGAGACAGAGAGACAGAGAGACAGAGAGACAGAGAGAGACAGAGAGACAGAGAGAGACAGAGAGACAGAGAGAGAGACAGAGAGAACCCACGGAAGGAACCCAGGGAAGGATTTTTTTGCTGACCACCAAAATATCTTTCACTGGGTAAGAGGCGAAGCTTTGGCAGTGAAGCAACATTAGCCAGGGATGAAAGGTTGCCAGGACCAACTCTTAATTTTAAAATACTCTTTGAATATATCAAACTAATTCTAAGTAACTGAGCTGCATCCCAGTGGAGGGTGAAGGTGGGGAAAGGGAGCCCAAAAATATCTATAAGGCTGTAAAAATAGCCAGCAGCAACAAGGTTCAAATCAGTCAGCATCCATCAAAAACAATCCTGGATATGCAAAGGAGCAAGAAAATAACAACCCATAATGAGAGATGTCAACTAATAGGAACCACTCCAGGAGTGACACTGATAATATACCTAAATAAACTAGTGATGGGGCTAGAGAGAAAGAGCTCAAGGGTTAATAGCACTTGTGTCTCTTTTAAAGGACCCAAGTTCAGTTCTGAGCACCCATGTTGGGTGGTTCATAACCACCTGCAACTTTAGCTCCAGGGAATATGATGCCCTTTTCTGACCTCTTAAGGGCACCTGACTCACATGGATACACACACACACACACACACACACACACACACACACACACACACACACACACAGAGTTAAAAATAAAAATAAATACTACTGAGGGGTTGGAGAGATGGCTCAGTGGTTAAGTAAGAACACTGGCTGCTCTTTCAGAGGTCCTCAGTCCAATTCCCAGCAACCACACGAGGGCACACAACTATCTGTAATGAGATCTGGCGCCCTCTTCTGGCCTGCAGGGATACATGCAGACAGAATACTGTATACACAATAAATAAATCTTTAAAAAAATACTACTGATGAAGAGAGAAATCTTCTAAGCAGTTAGAGAAAAACAGCACATGACATCCAGAGCAACAGAAAGAACAGAGGCTGAGACTTCTTTCAGAACAGAGCAAGGCAGAAGACAGTGGGATAATAATAATGCAAAGCGCCAAAACAATAAAAATACAAATAACTGCAAACACAGACATCCCTTCGAGATCGACAGCAAAAGCCACACACACCAAATGGGAAGACTTCATCAGAACTGACACACACTGGAAAAAAAGTCAATGAATTAATTTGAAGAAGTCTTTCAAGTGGAAGACAAATGGCATCAGAAGATCTAAGTCTAGGAAGGGACATATGACTGTGTCAACCAGGGACTCACTGAAGCTGTGGTTGCCCTACACAGGCTTACATAAGATTGGGCCCAACCACATTTTATCAAGGGTGGAAGAGGTGCTGGTGAGGCCCTATCCCTTCCTGGGGAACTCTGGGAAGTCAGTGGTTGCTGAGGGAGGCAGAGTGATTTTCTCCAGTGGTGTAACCACTGGTAGGTTGTCCACACATTAATAAAAAACCCCTCCAACCCCCACTCATCAAACAACCATAATTAAACTCAGTAGGTCTCACACACACATCAAAGTAGGAGGTAAACTTGTTCCAAAGACAAGGCTTTCAGAAGGAGAGAGAGAGGAGATGATGAGAGAGAACAATGGTGGTCAGAAATGACTAAAATTTGTTACATTCACATATATACTTATCACAAACTAAATCAATCGGAAGAACTGGATATGACAATTTTGTGAATATACACACTAATTCAGATTGACTTATAAGAGGATCATTTGAAGGACAAGAATAAATACTGTATTGTGGGCTTTAGATATAAATGTAGAAATCAGCTGGACAGTGATGGTTCACACCTTAATCCCAACACTCTGGGAGGCAGAGGCAGGCAGATCTCTGAGTTCGAGGCCAGCCTGATCTAAATGAGTGAGTTCCAGGACATCCAGGGCTACACAGAGAAACCTGTCTTGAAAAGAAAAAGCCCAATATATGTATAATGTCCTCTACCTTACTTTCATGATGATTAGTGACTAGTCTTTTCTCCCATCCAAGTACTAGCTGGGCCAGACCCTTGCTTAGCTTCCAAGATCAGGCATATTCAGAATAGTATGGCTCTAGAGATGGCTAGTTGTCTCCCTTAAGGTCTTTCAGTAATTGATTCCCACCCATCTGTTCTTCAGCTCAAACACAGACAGTACAGCATGTAGCTGTGTGTGTGTGTGTGTGTGTGTGTGTGTGTGTGAGTCAAGAACAGCTCGCAGGGGTCTGTTCTCTCCTGCACCACGGTGTGTGTGTGTGTTTGTGTGTGTGTGTGTATGTGTGTATATAAGTCAAGAACAGCTCGCAGGGGTCTGTTCTCTCCTGCACCACAGTGTGTGTGTGTGTGTGTGTGTGTGTGTGTGTGTGAGTCAAGAACAGCTCACAGGGGTCAGTTCTCTCCTGCACCACGGTGTGTGTGTGTGTGTGTGTGTGTGTGTGTGTGTGAGTCAAGAACAGCTCGCAGGGGTCTGTTCTCTCCTGCACCACGGTGTGTGTGTGTGTTTGTGTGTGTGTGTGTGTGTGTGTGTATATAAGTCAAGAACAGCTCGCAGGGGTCTGTTCTCTCCTGCACCACAGTGTGTGTGTGTGTGTGTGTGTGTGTGTGTGTGAGTCAAGAACAGCTCGCAGGGGTCTGTTCTCTCCTGCACCACGTTGTCCCTGCTCTTACGCTTGGCAGCAAACGTCGTCTTTATCCAGTGAGCCATCTCACCAGCTCCACACAAAACACTATTAGTTGTAGTCACCATGATGCACAATAGGCTGCCAGACTTCATTCTCCCTGTATAGCTCAAACTTTGTACCCTTTCAACTCAGGTTTTTATTAACTGAAAATTTCACACAGTGTGTTTTGAGCACATTCACCCCTCTTCCCAGATGAAACTTGGTACCTTTTGACCAGCTAACATTGCTCTGGTGTAGTTTTTTTTTGTTTGTTTGTTTTTGTTTTTGTTTTTTGAGACAGGGTTTCTCTGTATTGTTTTGGAGGCTGTCCTGGAACTCGCTCTGCAGACCAGGCGGGCCTCTAACTCACAGAGATCCATCTGCCTCTGCCTCCCGAGTGCTGGGATTAAAGGTGTGCGCCACCAACGCCCGGCTGCCGTGGAGTAGTTTTACTACTGCCCCCCCCCATTTTCTTACACATCCGTAACTAGAAGCAAAAGAGTTTCTAATATTAACAAAAAGGAAGCATTTGTAATTTTTCCTCACTGATAGTGATTGCTAGGTCCCTCTGAAGTTGCATAGCACTAAGACTACCTGTAACAGTTGTTAAGTCGTTCTTATATCCTATATACCACAGGAAGGCAGTCTATGACATGTTTAATAGCTAACACTTTATTTATTTATTTGTGTGCATGCAAGCTATGGCGTAGAAATCAGAGGGCAACTTGTGGACGCCAGTAGCCTCTTTCCACCATTCCTGCCCTGAGGATTGAGCCTAGGTGGCCAGGCTTGGCAGCAGGCACCTTTACCCACTGAGCCAACTTTCCAACTCCCAGCTAATGTTTTTATAAATAACTTTCATGAAACAGCCATTAATTCTGGCATAAAAAGCAAAGATGAAAAAGCCACAGTAAAAAGTATTTCATATTCTTGGTGCTGGAGAGATGGCTTAGAACTTGAAAGAGCATGTACTGCTCTACAGAGGACCGGAGTCCATTTTCCACCATGCATATTGGGTGGCTCACAACCACCTGTAACTCTAAGTCCAGGGAAATCTGCCACTAAGTCCAGGGAAATCTGCCACTTCCGGCCTTCATGGACTCCTGCACTCATATTCATCTACCCTCCTCCAGCTACCAACACCTATGCATAGTTAAAAATACAATATATCTCTAAAAATAATTTTTCCATATTTTCTCATGGGAGGTAATTCAATTGTAATATTACAACACAACGTTTACATCGCTTTTAGGTATAGGAAGTAGTTTCCTAGGGGCATACTCCATTATTTTCATAGCATCTCCAGAGCACATGACTGTCCAAATAGTTCAGTCATGCCACAAGAGTAGACTCTTGCCTGACCCCAGAACTGGTGTAGTGTTTGCCTAGTGCAAATTTACTCAAAAAGATATTCAATAGTTAGAAATTCATGGAAGGTTATGGAAGGTGAACTGACTGAGATCCTATGAGTCTGCTGATTCACGCCAAGGTCTTGACCTTTGCACCAAATGGTTACTGATTGACTTTCTTATTAATTCTTCCTCCAGAGAAAAGTTTCATGGTGGCAGACATACTGGAAGTAACAGTAAAATGAAAAATATCGTGGTGTCTTGTTCATTTCCTATGGTTAGCTCAGCTTAGACTCCTTGGGCCATATCATTGGCTCATTTCTCCCTCATTATGTCAGATTTTTAAAAATCTATACTTGTCAAAGCTCTTCACATAATAAAAGTGTCATACTACAAATAATTTTTCTACGTATGCCTTTAAGCTTTGCACTCTTTTTTTTAAAGATTTATTTATTTATTCTGAATACAACATCCTGTCTCTATGTATGTCTGCACACCAAAAGAGGGCGCCAGATCTCATTATGGATGGTTGTGAGCCACCATGTGGTTGCTGGGAATTGAATTCAGGACCTCTGGAAGAGCAGTCAGTGCTCTTAACGTCTGAGCCATCTCTCCAGCCCCTGCACTTTTTTTTTTCATTCCTCCTAGACTGGTTTGTCTGTGTAGCTTTCCTTGGCTGTCCTGGAACTCGCTCTGTAGACCAGGGTGGCCTTGAATTCACAAAGATCCACCTGCCTCTACCTCTTGAGTGCTGGAATTAAAGCCATGTGCCACCACCGCCTGGCTAAACTTTGCAATTTTAAACCCGAAGAGGGTATACATCCTCATATATCTAAATGCAACTATTTTCTTCTTGGTGGCTTTCTTCCTTGTGTGTTTGTTTACAAGACTTTTCCTTCTTCTAAGTTAAATATTCACGTTTCTTTTCTCTTGCTTTGTTTACGACAGGGGTTGTGAGAAGACATCAACAGTTAGAGCCTCTCAACAGGTTGACAACCTTTTGCTAAATGACGCCTAATCTGCAATTAGGAACCATTTCGAACGGATTAACGTTACAAAGACACAATTAATTCCACAGCATGTTTTCACAGGTCTGGTTATTTCCTACTTCGGGCGCAGTAATCTTTGGTTCTAAGTTCCTTTACTTCATACTTCGTGGCTCATCTACCAACATTTCTTAGCTATTGGGAAGAACACCTCTTTTTCGTCCCTCGCATAGTTCAGGCTCTGCAACTCTTAGTTTAACCTTTCCTCTGGCCCACCAGCGCTCCCCTCTGTTTCTGAACCCAGCTTACCCTAGCGAGACCTCTGTGGACCCTAGCTCTGGGTGCCCAGCTCCAGAGGCCTGATCACGTACCCAGGTGCAGGAGCTCCCGGGCGATGGCTTTTCCGATGCCCGTGGCCCCGCCAGTAACCACGGCCACTTGGTTCCGCAGCAACCCAGTCGCTAGGCAGCTCTGACCCTTAGTCCTAGAATCCATTGCCGTACAGCGTCTGTCCCCGCGATCTGTACAGACAGACCTTGGGCTCTTTACAAAGCAGCGCACCAGCGGGCTTCGCCCACGTGACTGAACAGACCACGCCCCAGTGTCCGCGTGGCCCCGCCCAGGCCCCGCCTTCGCGACGCACTAAGCATCCTCCCAGAGCTGGACCTGCAACCCTCTGCATCCTCCGCCTCCCTCCTGTGTCCCAGTGCTCGTGTGGGTGAGACTCTTCGTTCGATTTTTCATATTTAGTTTTAAATTTCGATGGCATTGGGGAAAAGGAAAGGGGAATAAAAAGAGAGAGCGAGAAAGAAAAGAAATGGGAAGGAAATTCGCTGTTCTGAAAATCCAATCCCGGGGCCATAGCTCCCACTGTTAATTAAAATTAAATCTCGAGGGCATCTGTGTAGAGAAAGGGTCTGGGCCCTCGCTGTGCCTTTCTACAGCAGATGTCCAGCTATCTGGGCTCAGGCTGCTGTGTGCCGGTGGCTAGGAAGTGGGAAGGGCTCAGGCTAGCTGAAGGGAGGAAGCCAGACATCCAGGTCTTCAGGGAGGGAGTCTAACGGAGGGTGTGGGTCGGGAGAGGACATACAGTTGCAGTTGTTCAGAGCCTAAATAGTACATGATAAAAAATAAATTTAGGCCCACTCTCACCTCTTTCTCTGTGCCCCACCCCGAAATGAAATAAGGAAGCACCCTTCCCTATGTTTGAGATTTGATCCGTTTCATCTGGGCTACATAGGGGCAAAAAAGATGATTCGTTGCATGGTTCTTGCAAGGTCCATCTCTAGGTTTATGTTTGAGAATCTGCCTTCTAGTTCATTTCTTCAGCAAGAAACTTCTCTGCTCTGAGTTGGGTCCAAGGAATAATCTATTACTCATATTCTGCTTATTCTTAATTATTTCATTTTTGTTTTTGCTTTATTTTCTTTTGAGACAAGGTCTCTCTACATAGCCCTGGCTGTCTTGGAACTAGGTAGGCTAGGTTGGCCTGGAACTCAGAGACCCACCTGCCTCTGCCTCTCGTTCGAGTGCTGGGATTTAAAGGTATGTGACGCCATATCCAACCTTTCTGTTTGTTCTTTAAAATATTAAAATAAGCCGGGCGGTGGTAGTGCATGCCTTTAGTCCCAGTACTTGGGACACAGAGGCAGGTGGATCTCTGTGAGTTCGAGACTAGCCTGGTCTATAAGAGCTAATTCCAGGACAGCCTCCAAAGCCACAGGGTAACCCCGTCTCGAAAAACCAAAAAAAAAATTAAAATTACATGTATTAGTGTGTGCCTCTGTGTGTGTGTGTGTGTGTGTGTGTGTGAAGACAAATGGCAGGAGCCAGTTCTCTCCTTGCATATGAGTCTCATGAACTGAACGCATGCCATGAAGCTTAGCAGCAAACACCTTTACCCCCGTAGTCCTGCCCATTCTCTGCTTCTTACTTTTGCCTTGTGAACTTGGCAGATGTAGGGACTATGTTACATCATTGGTCTTACTCCGGGAACAGTGGCATTTCTAACATGGTGTGGGTGTCCTGTTCTCCTTCTAGGTAGTAAGTCAACAAACGCCATTTGTGTGTGCTTTGGGAGATGGGGGTTGGAGCCACTACTTAAAACTCACAAAGAGAATTAAGAGTAGAATTAGATGTCACTTCTTTCTTTGGGTCTCTCCGACCAGCAAGACCACAGCTCTGGGAGAGCCTCATCTCCTCCTAGTCCCTCTGCCTCCCTGTCCTTCCTGGCCTCTCCTCTCTTTAGGAGCACTTCCCTCTCTAACTTGGGGGCTGATAGATCCTAACCAACCCAAATCAAGGCAGTACTAAAACTCTGACTATCCTTGTCTGGGTAGTTGATTCAGAGCTCCATTATCCTTCTGCTTATGTCAGTTATGTGCTTATGAACATTTAAAAATGGCACCATTATCACACACACACACACACACATACACACACACACACACATTTGTCTTTCAAGACATGGTTTCTCTGTAAAGCTTTGGAGCCTGTCCTGGCATTCAAAAATAAGATTTTTGTGTGGTGTGTGTGTGTGTGTGTGTGTGTGTGTGTGTGTGTGTATGGTGTGTGTGTGTATGTGTGTATGGTGTGTGTGTGTATGGTGTGTGTGTGTATGTGTGTATGGTGTGTGTGTGTGTGTGTTCCTGTGGAAGCCAGAGGAGGATGTTGAATGCCCTTCTCTATCATTCTCAACCTTATTCTCTCACCGAAGCTTGCCTCTTTTTAGCTGATGGGAGCCACAGCAATCCACACCCCCCCCTCCAGCATCCCCTAACCCTGGGCTCACAAGCTAAGGTTCTGGGGCTCTAACTCAGATCTTCATGCTTGCACAGAAATTAGTGCCCTTACCTGCTGAGCCATCTCCATGGTCCCGTAAAAATAAATTTAAGTAGAAATGTTGAAGAATTGTTTCAGAAAAATATGATTTCCAGTTCTCCGATCCCAATGACAAAGGGATATATGTTGTTTGTTCTTTTGCCACGTGGAAGAGCCAGCGGTGGAGCTTGCGCAAGCATTCATCCGTGGAGCTAACCTTCTCCCCCTCCCCCAATATGCTGTCTCACAGAAAAAGGAAATATTTAGTGTGGCGACTGAGCAGATTGAGGCAGGGATTCAGGTGAGAAGGTGACTGGGGGATATGAGGTAGTTATGTCCAATGGGGACGACAAGGTACCATCTGTCATCTGCAAGGACACTGAAGGCTGAGCAGTGGGATCTCCTCCAGGGCTCCTTTGTTTAAAATAAGGAGGTATGTTCTCTTTGTCTCTGCCTCTGACTCTAGCCCCTAAATGTCAGCACACCCAGTAATTTCACTTGGAAGCCCATTCTTTTCAGATTTCAATTCTGGTCCCTTGATGAGCCAGTCCCCGCCTGAGACCAGCACCAGGCTGCTTCGGTGACCCCTTTGGTGGAATCCAGAACTGTTCTCTTGGGCTCTGCATCACTGCCCCCTTTGTCCCGGCTTGCTGTCACCAGGATCCATTCACACCCCCTGTGCTGTCATACCCCATTAGCAGTAGCTTCCTGTCTCTTCTGAGATGCTTTTGCGGCTCACCCAGATCCCTGCCCCTCCCCCTCTCCATCTTCCTGGTTAACATCATTTTCCCCCTCTGCGAAGCACCTGCGGGCTCAGAGTGACTGGTGCTTGTGGGGTTCTCAGAGTGCAGATTCACAGAATCGCTGTGGTGAAAGAATACAAGCACAGCCTAAAACTCTGCCTGTGCCTGGAAGCAAGAGTCCTCTAAGACTGCTCACATACGAGTATTCAGTCAGTGCTTATTGAACACTGTGTACCAGGTACCGCTCTAGGCATGGAGAATACAGCACAGTCCAGGGGATGGCTGGGCTTCACAGTCTTCTAGCATGTAGGAATGGAGGGATCAGATTGGGGTGGGGTGCAAGGAATACTCACAATAGGTAGGACGGTAGCCAAATAAAAGAGTCAATCTTCAGTTCTTTTTTTTCTATTAAATTATTTCACTTATTTTATATACCTACCACAGTTTCCCCTCTTCCTTTCCCCATGTTCCCTCCCCCCTTCCTTTCTAACCCCCCCCACTCCATTCACAAAGAGGCAGGCCTCCTATGGGTGTCAACACAGCATGGCACATTAACTTGAGGCAAGATCAAGCTCCTCCCCCTGCGTCAAGGTTGGACAAAACAACTCAGCTGGGGGATTGGGTTCCCAAATCCTGACCCCACTGCTAGGAGTCCCACAAACAGACCAACCTACACAACTGTCACACACATGCAGATGGACTAGGTCAGACCCATGCAGGCTCCTAGTTGTTAGTTAAGAGTCCGTGAACGCTCATGAACTCAGGTCAGCTGTCTCTGTGTGTTCCCCTGTCATGACCTTGACCCCACTTCAATCTTCAGTTCTTTCAGTAAGGAGAGTACAAGGTCTTCATAGACAACTGCCTCTGCTACCAGAAACTGTTTTCTTTGTAGACAGGTGGTGCTGAATCAGCCTTAGTGTATTTGTTTCTCCTTATTAGGAATGGGGCAAAATGGCCTTAGGTATATGGGCCAAATGACTTATGTATATGGGCCAAATGACTTATGTATATGGAGCCAAATGGCCTCATGTGTATGGGGTAAAATGGCCTCATGTGTATGGGGTAAAATGGCCTCATGTGTATGGGGTAAAATGGCCTCATGTGTATGGGATAAAATGGCCTCATGTATGGGGTAAAATGGCCTCATGTATGGGGTAAAATGGACTTATGTACATTGGGCAAGCACTCTCCCACTGAGCTGTATTCCCAGCCCTCTTAGATTTTTATCTTGACAAAGGGCTTTGCTTAGTTGCCCAGGGCACCCTTGACCTCAGTCTGTAACTCAGACAAGCATTGAGCTTGCAATTCTCTGGCCTTAGACTTCCAGAGTAGTCAGCAGGCTAGGCTACTGAACTCTTTCATTTTCCACCTCAATGCAGTGAATGGGACAGGTTTCTGGGGAAGGAAAAACATGCATTTAGAAAAGCAGTGGACCAAGACGTTGCCACCCTTTAAGGTTCACTATGGGGAACCTAGAAGCACCAAGGCCTTTATAGGACAGCGAAGAAGGAACAGGTGGGTGATGGGCAGCAATGTGCTGAGCTGAGCCTTAGTCACCTACAGACAGGAGTTATGAGCACTTCCTGATCTCCAACAGGACCCCAGTTAGGTTCCCAGCACCCATACTTCACATGTGCATACTCACTCACATAGAAATAAAATCTTTTTCAAAAATTTAATGTTGTTGTGTGTGTGTACATGTGAATATGTGTGCGTGTGTGTGGAGGCAGGGGGACAATGTAGTGACATTCTTCAGGAGCCATCAACCTTCAAGGTTTCTCACTGGCTTGGAGCCTACCAAGTAGACTAGTCTGGCTAGCCAGAAACCCAAAATGCCTATCTCTGTCTCTCCAGTGCTGGGATTACAACTAGGTATGTGCCACTATTCCTGACTTTCTGGGACTTGAACTCAGGTCCTCAGCTTGTGTGGCAATCATTTTACCCACTGAGCTAGCTGTCTATTCTATTGTTTAACTGGTTTTTTGTTTGTTTGTTTGTTTGTTTGGTTTTGAGACAGGGTTTCTCTCTGTAGCTTTGGATCCTGTTCTGGAACTCACTCTGTAGACCAGGCTGGCCTCAAACTCACAGACCCACCTGCCTCTGCCTCCTTAGTGTTGGAATCAAAGTCATGTGCCACCACTGCCCAGCTTCTAAA